GGGGGGGACATGTGCAGATCTGTCCTCGCAGAGGAGGGAGAGCTCGTACCTGAATAAAACTTGGTCTTAAAGATGCCACTGGACTGTTTTGGGCCGGGGGGCCGGGGGGGGGGCTCTGCAACTTACCTGGCTGCTTCTTGCTCTGACTGAGGGCTGCTGGGAGCAGGGGGTGGGGCTTGTTGCATGTGCCTGACCCCTGGGCTCTTTACTGCCGGAGCTCCGCTCCTGTGCGCTCCCGCAGGAAATTACCCCTGGGCGGGGGGCCCTCTGGGGCACATGGAAGAAGAAGGATACACGGAGAAGAAGACTGTAAGCAGGCACCACAGTATGCCGATGTTGGCTTCTTTCCGGGGATCTACCAGACAGTAGTAGCCTTCAGTGAAGAGGTACACGGAGGTGGAATACACGGCAAAATCCACGTACCACTGATACTCCAGGAAGTAGCGCAGGACTGCAAAACAGAGGAACAGAGATTATTCGCTCCACCAGGATCGTCCAGCGCCGTTCCAGACATCCAGTCACACCAAATGCACTTATCTTCCTCGTACTCAGGTTGGAGCTCCCCTTTCCTCTAGCACCTCCTAAATATTTGCTCTTAAAATGTTTCAAGGATTACCCACACTAGAAGAAGAAGGAGGAGAAGAAGAAGAAGAAGAAAAAGAAGAAGGAGGAGGAGGAGATTGGATTTATACCCTGCCCTTCACAACCCAAAGGTGTCTCAGAGTGGCTTACAATCTCCTCTCCCTTCCCCTCCCCACAACGGACACCCTGTGAGGTAAAAGAAGAAGAAGAGATTGGATTTATACCCCGCCCTTCACTACCCAAAGGAGTCTCAGAGCGGCTTACAATCTCCTTTCCCTTCCCCTCCCCACAACGGACACCCTGTGAGGTAGGTGGGGCTGAGAGAGCCCTGACAGAAACGGCTCTCTTTCAAATAGAAGAAGAAGAGACTGGATTTATACCCCACCCTTCACTACCCAAAGGATTCTCAGAGTGGCTTACTATCTCCTTTCCCTTCCCCTCCCCACGACAGACACCCTGGGAGGTAGGTGGGGCTGAGAGAGCCCTGACAGAAACGGCTCTCTTTCAAATAGAAGAAGAGACTGGATTTATACCCCACCCTTCACTACCCAAAGGAGTCTCAGAGCAGCTGACGAACTCCTTTCCCTTCCCCTCCCCACAACAGACACCCTGGGAGGTAGGTGGGGCTGAGAGAGCTCTGACAGAAACGGCTCTTTTTCAAGAACAGCTGTGCCAGAACTAAGGCTTGCCCAAGATCATCCAGAAGAAGAAGAAGAGATTGGATTTATACCCCGCCCTTCACTACCCAAAGGTGTCTCAGAGGGGCTTACAAACTCCTTTCCCTCCCGCTCCCCACAACAGACACCCTGGGAGGTAGGTGGGGCTGAGAGAGCCCTGACAGAAACGGCTCTCTTTCAAGTAGAAGAAGAAGAGACTGGATTTATACCCCACCCTTCACTACCCGAAGGTGTCTCAGAGCGGCTGACGAACTCCTTTCCCTTCCCCTCCCCACAACAGACACCCTGGGAGGTAGGTGGGGCTGAGAGAGCTCTGACAGAAACGGCTCTTTTTCAAGAACAGCTGTGCCAGAACTAAGGCTTGCCCAAGATCATCCAGAAGAAGAAGAAGAAGAGATTGGATTTATACCCCTCCCTTCACTACCCAAAGGTGTCTCAGAGCAGCTTACAAACTCCTTTGCTTCCCCTCCCCACAATAGACCCCCTGTGAGGTACATGGGGCTGAGAGAGCTCTTGACAGAAACTGCTCTTTTTCAAGAACAGCTCTGACAGAACTAGGGCTTGCCCAAGGTCATCCAGCAGGTGCAAGTGGAGGAGTGGGGAATCAAACCCGGTTCTCCCAGATTAGAGTCTGCACACTTCACCACTACACCAAACTGGCTCTGAAGAAGAAGACGACGAAGAAGAACAGGAGGGAGGAGGAGGAGGAGGAGGAGGAGAGATGGGATTTATACCCCACCCTTCACTACCCAAAAAAGTCTCAAAGTGCCTTAGAATCTCCTTCCCTTCCTCTCCCCACAACAGACGCCCTGTTATCATTATCAAACTTATAATGCATCATTTATAACTTACTTAGCATATAAATGCCTCCATTTTCTGCAAGCAAAATTGCAAATATACCCAATACTTAAAAGAAAACCATAAGCTGATATATCCTAAACTACCCTAGCCCATATCCCTTAATTTTTACTACCTGAAAAATAGAGGGAGAAAGAAGAAGAAAAGAGATTGGATTTATACCCCGCCCTTCACTACCCAAAGGTGTCTCAGAACGGCTGACAAACTCCTTTCCCTCCCCCTCCCCACAACAGACACCTTGAGAGGTAGGTGGGGCTGAGAGAGCTCTGACAGAAACTGCTCTTTTTTCAAGGACAGCTCTTATTAGAACTACGGGTTGCCCAAGGTCATCCAGCCAGGTGCCAGTGGAGGAGTGGGGAATCAAACCTGGTTCTCCCAGATTAGAGTCCACGCACTTAACCTCGACACAAAACTGGCTCTCAGAAGAAGGAGAAGGAGGTGAGATTGGACTTATACCCCACCATTCACTACCCAAAAAAGTCTCAAAGTGCCTTACAATCTCCTTCCCTTCCTCTCCCCACAACAGACACCCTGTGAGGTAGGAGGGGCTGAGAGAGTTCTTTTGAGGACTGCTCGAGAGAGCAGCTCTGAGAGTACTTGTGACTGACCCAAGGTCACACCAGCAGCTGCATGTGGAGGAGTGGGGAACCAAACCCGGTTCTCCCAGATCAGAGTCCAGGCTCCTAACCACGACACCAAACTGGCTGTGCCTCTTCATGAGTCAATGTTCTACGCGTGGCTTCTGAGAGAGCAGGTAAATGCTGGGAAACGATCCAGTGGCACCCAAAGCAGAGAGATGGCGGAGCCCAGCCACAGTCGTCTGAAAAAAGACATAGTCAGTGTGGTGTGGTGCAGTGGTTAAGCGTGTCGGACCAGTGTCGGGGAGCCTCAGGTTCGAATCCCCGCTTGCGCCATGGAAGCTTAGTGGGTGACCTGGGGCCAGTCACTCCCTCTCAGCCCAACCTACCTCATAGGGTTGTTGTGAGGATAATGCCAGCTATGCTGCCATGATGCTTTATGGGCGAGAGTGCAGCTGCTTGACCTGTGTACCAACTGATGCTGCATTCCTTTGTCCTTGCTTATCTATGACCTTGCTGGCTAGCTATGTAGCGTCTCCCTATCTATTACCCGTGGGATAGGTTTCGTTTCCCAGCTTCGGCTTTAACGGCCTGGGGCCCCATTCTCCCACACGCGGGAGTCAGGCCGATTGGCCTAGGAGTGTGTGTGTGTGTGGGGGGGTGCGTACGAATACCCTATATCCCTTTATGCTTGTAGGAAAGTAGCCATTCCTAACAGTGGCCATGTTACTGCCTCTATAGCTCTTGCAATAAAGTATAACCTTATGTTAAGTGTGTACTCCTTTGTTTGGCTGTGGAACCTGCCCACCCAAAAATCAGCCCCTAAAATGGGAGAGAGGAGAATGAAGCAAGCTAGTTTGGGAAGAAAGGCTGGGTATAAATGAATTAAATTTTAAGAATTAAATAAAAAGCCAGAGCAGGGAAGAAAATGTTGGAGATTACATTGGAGATGGCTATTGAGACTGGAAAATAGCACCTCCATGTTCAGGGGTAGTCTGCCTCTGAATATACTGCAGAGAGCCTTCCTGAAGGTATCTGACTGGTCTCATCTGGGAACAAGATGGACCTTATGATCAAATCCAGCAAGGCATAACAAGGTCAGGAATGGTGAATGGTCTAGCAGGGATTTTGGAAACTTGGACAGATTCCCAGCGCAGCAGAAAGAAAGTGGAGAACTATCTGGACTATTCTAGAAAGTCTCACCACATAGTTTGGTTAGCCAGAGGTGGCTCGGAGAATGGGGAAGCTCCCCAGATCTAGTTTACAGCACCCACCAATGCTCCCTCTAAGCTGCAGAGTCTTGTGAGCAAAAATTCTACTTTGCGAGCTACTGGCATTTAAGTGGTGAGTGAGCGATTTGGCTACTGCACAAATTAGTTTGTTCTGGAGCCATCCTTCCTAAGCTAAGGCAAAAAATGTGTGAACCGGAGGCTGAAAAACTGTGAGCTAGCTCACACTAACTCAGCTTAGAGGGAACACTGGCACCCACATATTTACCCAGGCCATCCACTGCTGTGATGGGGCTGCTCTCCAGTTGCAAATCAATATCCCGGGGCACAGACGATGGCTTGTCATCTGTCACACCATTGAGCCTCCTGCAATGCAAACACATCATAACCAATCAGGGATCCTACAGAAATACCAAACCACCATTTTCTATCATAACTAATCAGGGATCCTACAGAAACATGATACTGCCATTTTCCTGGAAAACTTTCTTTGATTTCTGGAACAAGAGAATTCTGTTTAGATTCCAGATTATTTTCAATTGTGCCACTTTTCGTAATAGAGTGTAAATGACGATTAATTCAATTTTATAGTATTGTGATAGCAGTTGTAGTGGATAGTTTGAGCCTTTATCGTTCACATGACTGTGCTGAAACTTATACTTGTTGACTGCCTGTTTATCTGACTGATAAAGGAAAATGACAACGGTCATGAACCCTCATTAATTTCTTCTGCAGATTTATAGAAATTTCCATAAGGTAAGTGGAGCTGCGGTAGCTCAAGTGGTTAAGACGCTGAACTGCAGGCTGTGGAAGGTCAGTAGTTCAGCAGTTCGAGACCCGGGTGCTGCATGATGGAGTGAGCTCCCATCTCTAGTTCCAGCTCCTGCCAACCTAGCAGTTCGAAAGCAAGAAATTGCAAGTAGATAAATAGGTACCGCTTTGGTGGGAAGGTAACAGCGTTCCGTGCTCCTTGGTGTTTAGTCATGCCGGCCACATGACCACAGAAACGTCTTTGGACAGCGCTGGCTCTTTGGCTTTGAAACGGAGATAAGCACTGCAACCCTAGAGTTGGATTCGACTGGCTTTTGAGCAAGGGAACCTTTACCTTTTACAATAAGGTATGTGTCTTGATGTGATTGTATTTACTGAGTGGCTAGAACAAACATCAAAATAATATGTGAATGAAGTGATTTTTTTTTCTCCCTTGCTTATAATCCCGGACTCTGGGGTCACTCAACCAAAACCAAACAGCGATAGGTTGGAAAGAGACCACAAGGAAATGCTCAGGGAACTTGCTGCACCTGCTGTTATGTGCTCACGCTGCTTTCTGCCTTGAACATTTGATACAGGAGACGCAGTTCCCCGTTAGACTTTTATTATTCTACAGAAAATTAAGAGACTTCTGTTCTAGATTTGCTTTTGATTGAGCATTAAGTGATACGCGGTGATCCAAGCTGGCAAACGCGTGAAGTGTAAACATAGCTGCTGGAAGCCAAACACATCACAGTTTCCGGGCAAGCAGCTGGGACCCCGGCCAAGCACGCTTGGAAACCGGCCACGATAGACACCGTGTTACGCTACATTCTTCATTTCAGCGCTGACGGAGTTTCTGTGTATTTATTTTGGACTTCATTTTGATGTTCGATTCATTTGCTATTGTAGGTTATTAGTGATTGAAGTGGTGATATATTTTGTTGGAGATGTTTTCAGTATGATATGATATTTATATAAATCTATATATTTAAGAAGAAGAAGAAAAGAGATTGGATTTATACCCCGCCCTTCACTACCCAAAGGTGTCTCAGAGCGGCTTACAAACTCCTTTCCCCCCC